CGGTGGTGGGGTAGAGGCCCATATGGAAGAAACCACTCCCCCTCCCCTACCCCGGGACCCTCGCTCTCCCACCCGTCCCCTCCCCTCAGCCCCCCTCCCCTTCTCCATGTCGGCTCGGAACAGATTCGCCTCCATGTGTCTCTGCGTGGTACGTGCCGCGGTATGGGCTCCGGCCCGCTCCCCTCTTCCCGGACGTCCCCAGATCTCGGGGTGTAAGCTTCAGTGCTGTCGCCCTTCTCTGCTTGGCGCGGGGTCTCTGGGTTTCAGCTCCTCGCGGAGAGGTGCCCTGGGTCGCCCCTCTTGTCATCATCCACTTTTAATCACACCCCTCTCTTTTGGGGGTGCAAGCCTAGCTTCCAGGTCTTTATGTGCAACTGGGGTTCCTGTGAAGATGGGGTCCAGGGGGATGGACCGCAGTAATTGTGAGTGTCCCCCAGACCTTTTACTTGTTTTATGCCTTAATATGTTGGGGGTGCAGGCTTGCTCCAAACCGCATCCGAGCTGTCTCTGGTCAGGGCCTTGAGTCTCGGTGGGGTAAAGAGTGAGGGTCCTCCCTTCCCACTCAGCCTGCATTTAGATCAGCCCTGTAGTCCAGGATTGAGGTGCTGAACTGAGCTACCCCCACCCCCAAGTTTGCAGTTTCAGATGGACTCTGCCCCACCCCCACAGGGTGTTTTTTTAATCCTTACTACTTGTACATCAAAAATTTCCATGGATTGAACAGAGGCCCTAACCTTCTCCGGACACATTTGGGGATCCTTAGTACCTCATTTCCCTCACATTGCTCCTGGATTCGTAAAAGCCTTTTTCTGAGTTCCTGACTGCCCTCCCCACCTTGGGAATGGGGTGGGAGAGGGGTGTGTGTGTGTGTGTGTGTGTGTGTGTGTGTGTAGAGGGGGTCTCACTGTTGATAAAAGTTTGCCTTCATTTCTTCTCTAGGATGAATGAGTTGCCTTTCCTCACTTGCCTTAGGTGCACCCTAACCGTTCTTCAGATGTAGGAATGTTCTCTGTGAAGTGGGTGGAAAATGGAGAAGGGTTAGGCTCAAACCTTCCCCGAGGTTTCAGAATTTGCGAACCCTGCTTTGTGTTAACACACGAATTTCAGAATCTGCTTCGTGTTAATCCATCAGGGATTAGTTTGATTCGGTAAGAAAAGTTCCTGGGTGGTGCAAATGGTTTGCGATCAGTCGCTAACACAGAAGAAAGGCCTGGCAAAGTGCTATTGCAGAGATGACCTTTGACACAAGAAAACCCTGTGGCGCAGTTCTACTCTGTACCACCTGGGGTCGCTGTGAGTTGGATTCCACTAGACAGCAACGGGCTTTTAATTGCTGATGTGAGAAAGAAGAGCCAATTCTTTTTCTCTCTTCTGACATCCCCCCTTCCCCCAGTTTTGGGGCACCTCTCCTCAGCTGTGCTGTGTCCAACTGAGGACCACCTTCTCAGCATGGGGCATGAAAAACATCTTTCCAGTTCCCTGATCTATTATCCCAGACAGTGCAAACTTTGAGGAAAGCTATTGGTATTTACCTGTTTCTTTGACTGTGCATTGGACTGTGTGGGGAAGACCAAATTATGGGCAGCATTTGAAAAGTCAGAATTCAAGAGCACTTAAATTGTGTGCATGCAGAACCCGTACATAGACCAAAAGGCAGTCGCTCAAGCAGATCAAGGGGATACTGCGTGTTTCAAGATCAGGAAAGGTGTGCAGTGGGGTAGTAGCCATATTAATTCCATCTGTAGGGAGAGCACATAATCCGAGAAGCTGGACGATATGCAGAAGAAAAGAGCAGCCGGATTGGACAAAGACTGGTTAACAGCCTACAGGGTGCAGGTGACAGGCCCCACCCCGGCCCACCCGTTCACTGCTGTTTACATATGCTCTTTCGCCCGCTCTGTGGTCGCTCCCTGAAAGCGAAGAGGCCTTAAACCGCTTACTGATGATCATCCAAGACTCCAGCCTCCTTTATGGATTATAGCTCAATGTAAAACAAAATCCTCACAGCTGAAGAACGGAGCAACATCATGATAAAGGGAGAAGAGTTTGAACTCAGAGACTTCCTTTTACTCAGCTCCACAGTGGCAGCAAAGTCCTGGAAGCAGTGATCAAGAAATCAGATGACATACAACATTGGGCAAATCTGCTGTAAAAGACCCCTTGAAACAGTGTTCAAAGGCAACGGTGTCACTTTGAAGAGGAAGGTGCGCCTGATCCCAGCGATGGTATTTTCAGTTGCCTCCTATGCGTGCAGAGCTGAAAAAGACATCAGGCAGCCTGAGGTTGGCGGCCGGAGCTGATGAAGACTTCAGGGTGCCATGGACTGCTAGAAGACCACACACGTCTGCCTTGTCCAGCCAGAAGGCCCCTCGGAAGGATGGAGAGACTTAGTCTTATGTGATCAAGAGTGATCGGTCCCCAAGATGTTGTTCTCGGTAGAGGGTCAGAGAAAAAGAGGAAGACGCTCAGTGACATGAGCTGACACAGAGGTTCAAACAGCGGTGATCGGGAGGATGGTGCAGGACCCAGCGGTGAATACCTTGTTGCACGGAGGGCTGCTATGAGTTAGAATGGCCTTGATGGTACCTCACGGCCACCATCCATCCTTATATTCTGCTGTGCGTGGCGTTGCCCCAAGTCAGGAGCCAACACGTGTCAGCAGCTGACATTAACTTTTACCCGTCTCTAGAGGAGCGAGCTCTGGTAGAGTGGTCAGGCAAATGTTGGACAGCTACCCTAAGATCAGGGGTTCAAACCCCAACCCACTCTGTGAGAGGACGGATGAGGGTATCTGCCCTCGCAGAGATCTCCAGCCTTGGGAATCCTATATAGGGTCTCTAGGAGTTGGGATCGATTTTGGATGGCAGTGGGTTTGGCTTTCCTGTATTTCTGCTTCTGGTGCCCTTGGTATTGCGACTTGGGAGTTCACACGTCTCCCTCCAAGTTTGCGCCACAAAGAATGGACTCTTATTTGGGTGAGTGTGCGTTTTTCTTCCTGAAGGGTCTTCCTCCATCAAGGCGCTGTGGGTTCCAGTGGCCACTCTTTCATAGGGATGAGAATCGCCATGGGCACAGGCCCGTGTCCTTCCTACTTTCTTGTTGCCCCTCCAGTCTCCAGCCACAGTGGGGGAGCCTCCTCAGCCTGCCTTCATTGTCCTCGGAGGTTTCAAAACCACTGTCTAGAGTGGGGCACTCATGAGCTTGATGAGCATCCTCGACTTTGAGTTTGTAACTTGGCCGACAGAAATGCTGCCTTTTCTTTTTAGGGGGGGGGTGTGGGTGGGTGAGTTCTGGTTTCCCCAGCCCCTGAGGGAACCCTGGCTGTGGTGCCCTCCCGAAGCCTTTGCTAAGCATGGAATTCCAGCGGTGGTGGGGTAGAGGCCCATATGGAAGAAACCAGGCCCCACCCCCGGCCCACCCCTTCACTGCTGTTCCCATATGCTCTTTTGCCCGCTCTGTGGTGGCTCCTTCATTCTTACTCATTGTGTCTATGAAGTTCCTGCTGGAGCTCCCTGCGATGGCAGGGGTTATGTTGGGCAGAGAGTGAGGGCGGGCGTATGATTGGGTCTTTCATCCCATAAGGCTGAGGGAGACCTGGGAATTCACGCTGCAGCTTAGGGCTCTGTCCCCTACCCCAGCCAGAGAACCTGGCACCCATTCCTGCCTTCATTCTGAGCCCCACTGCTGCTTCTGCCTCTCCCACCCTCTCCCACCACCTCCAGCTTAGCTGGCTGAGCTGTGGGCTATGCTATTGAAGGGATGGAGGCCAGTGGAGGGAAGCTGGGCAGGCTTATCCTTGTCCTGCCTAGGGGACTGGGGCCAAGTTCTTTCTGGTTGAAGGGCTTGATTGCCGCCTCTGCTGGGGACGTGCCAGGTGCTGGAGATACAGTGACTCATGGGGACACCGAGCTGCCATGGGGAGGTTGAGGCAGCCAGGGTGGGGGAGGAGTGGAATGCAGGGCTGGAGCAGCAATTGGACTCCGGGAGGAGGTGGACAGTGGACGTTAGGAAGCGGATTGCGATCAAGATGAGGGAAGCAAAGTTGTTGGGGGTGAGACCTCAAGAATGGGGTGCAGGTGACAGAGGGGCTGGAGCTTGGAGAAGGGGGTCAAGAAGCCTCAGGAAGGGGGGGTCTATGCAGGTGGAGGGCTAGGGCCCTAGGATGTGAAGAGTCGGGGTTGGGGCTGGGACTGGAGGAGGGGAGGGTGGAGAGAGGGGAGCCAATGGGCTGGAGAAGAGGGAGGGGGAGGAGCTGGTCAGGCCCCAGGGCCTTCCTGCACTGCTCTTGCAGGGGCACCAGGCGGCTGCCTGGGTGGGCAGCCTGGAGCCTGAGGCACCGGGCCTACCCCAGTGACACCTCCCAACCCCATCCCCAGAAATACCGCTACCAAGATGAAGACACGCCCCCTCTGGAGCACAGCCCGGCCCACCTCCCCAACCAGGTAAACGCCCCCGAGCCGGTGCACGTGTTGGAGAGGAACTTGTCCCACCTCGAGGCCGTCCACGGGGTCGTGGGCCACGCCCACCTCTCCCCCCTCAAGGTAGGAGACCCTGGCGGCCCCCTCCCCAGTGTGGTCCTCGGAGCCTCGGAGCTGCAGCAAGCCCCCAGGGCTGGCCGGTAGGGCGAGGGCGAGAGCGTGGGGTGGGGGGGCGGGGAATTGGGGTGGTGGTTGCCTGGGGCCTGGACACCTGGGGGAGAGGGGCAGGCGGGGCGGTGCCACTTGGTTCTACAGAAGACAGGCCTGGCGAGTGGGAGGGGGTGCTGAGCCTCAAATTGATGTGGTGTGTGTGTGTTGAGATGTGCGCCCGCCCCCGCCCCCCAACCCCTAATCCCCACCCCCATCTCTCCTTTTCTTCACACCC